GAGGCGGTCTCGAAGGTATCCGGGTCCGATGCCATGGAGCGCTTTAAAGATGATAGTCAGCACCTTGAAGCGCACCCGGAAGGCCACAGGCAGCCAATGCAGCTCGCGCAGCAGCGGCGTCACGTGGGAACGTCGAGTCCCCCCCAACACCGCCCGCGCGGCCGCATTTTGGACCAGCTGGAGCCTCCGGGTGCTCCTCTTTCTACCAGCAGCTCATTTCTGGTAATAAGTTCTTCATGCAAGACATACATACCCTTCTCCAACAACTCTTGCTAATTTTAGACGAAAATCCACTGAGTTTAGACTGGGTGGCTTCCATTTCAAAATGTCATCACATCGTCCAGGCTTGTATTTCTTAAAAATGAAGAGGAAAAATTAAAGAAAGTTTATTTGTTTGCTTAAAAGCCAGTGTTTAATAACCTGTTAAATCTTTGAGGGAAAATAGTTATAAAGTCATACTGTATCATCCTTTCTTAAGATGTATAACATAGAAAGCATTACAATTAGTACCTGAAAGACATTTATTAAGATTCAGTGGTCTAGTGATTAAGGCACTGGCTAGCAACCAGGAGACTATGACTTCTAGTTCCACTTTAAGCATGAAAGCTGGCTGGGCCAGTTACTCTCTCTCAGTCCAAATCACCTCACATGGTTGTTATTGTGGGGAAAATAGGAGGAGAAAGGAGTATTAGATAACCAGCTTGAGTTATTTATAAAAATAATAAAGGCAGAATATTTTTTCTTAAAGAGTTTATTAAAAATCTTGTTTCCATATGTATAATGCAATATACATTATTCATATTATTCATTTTAATCTTCTGAGGGTATTTATTGGGGAATTCATCTGGGCTGGACATAGTGAAGTAAGAAAATTCCCCACCTTTTTCAATTCAGACTTTCAATTCCAGACAGTAATCAGACTTTGATTTTTCAGGTGTCAGATTGATTGATAATTCATGAATGAGAATGCTTGTAGTATATTTAAGACTATGTGGCAGACATCCCAAAGTAGCAAATTAAAGAGAAGAAACCTAATATTGATCTGGAAGAAATTCCACATGGTTTTAGGAAGGTAAATAAATAATCATTATAATATTGGTCAACGTTATTATGTCCAGTTAGACATACTGAAAGTCACTGAAGTCGATGGTTTTACACCATTGATTCAACTGTGCATAAAAGCTGTTTAATATTGTAGATGCTTGAATCATATGGTTTTCATTGTATCCAATTTCCTTTTTTTCTGCTCATTAAATAGATAAAGATAATAAAAAAAAGAATAGACTTTCTCGCAATAGTAGAATTCAGGTTTACCTGGTAAAAAGCAACATGATTAATTGCCCTACAGAATTATCTTTCATGAAGCAATCTTATACCTGTTAAGAGTGATCATTAAATTAAGTATGTGTGTATATAAATGCTTAAACTGTAATAACATAGATATTTGATTTCTTATACCTATTACCCCAGAATTCTGTATTGTCTGCATCTTCTGCATTTCATTTCTCTTAAATCTACTGTTTATCATTCTTCCAGCCACAAGCAATTTCTCCTTAGATAGAATAATATTTCAGACGGCAAATGAAATTGTCTATATTCCTTGATCATAGCTGATTTCATAAATGTATCAAACAGATGTCAGAAAAATCTGGTCTATTATTTCTGCTCTGCCCTCAAGTTTACATTGATATGTTGCCCAGCTTCTTCCTTAGCATTCTGTCACTCCAGCCAGGTGCAGATATGATTTTTAATTAGATTTCTTGTCTAAACGTTTAAATCAGTGGAGCAGGCTGTCTCAAAAGAAATAAATGATGCCCTTCTATGTTCCATTATACTATATTTGATTATTCCTATTATGGCAAGCACATTACTGTCTAGTAGAATTTCTAAGGTATAGATTGAGGGCAAACATTTTGTCTGCATGCATTATTATTTCTCTGGGTAATCAACAACCTTTTTGTAAGGCAGGCTACCTAATTGGATTCTCTCTCAAACCACTATCTCTTAAGGCTAAACTTCAGATCAGCCAACACTGAGTAAAACCTTACAAGGCGTAGTTTCAACCAGAGACTCCAAGAGTTGACTTATTAGATGCAATTTTAATAACTGAATAGTTGTAAGAGTTAATGTTGTGACAGCTGTAGTTATATATTCTGAAATATGCTGGTACATGAAAATCTTCTATCTAGACACTTATTGAAGCTATATTTGGCATTGCACGATCACAATGATTAGTAACCATTTTCCTGCACGGAGGGCTGAAATAGCTACAGATTTTTCATACATTTTTAATGAACATCCATGTTCTTAGCATGTCGAGAAAAATACCTGATACCCTCTAAGTTGAATTCAATACATTGTAGGCCAGTATTTGCTGCCACATGCCCCGAGTCCAACCTGTTTCTAATTGATCACAACAATGCCATATAACACACTAACTATGTAGCCCAGTGACTTTATGGAAAGACGATAAATAACTTAATGCATGCAATATAGGGAGGTATCTCATGCACTGATAATATGGATATGCATTAAAGGACTAAGCCTGGTCTAGTTCACCAAGAATCAAATATTAAAATTCAACACATTGTTACATTTAGCAGCTAGTCAAACACATGTATTAATGGTATCGGTTACTTAATCATTATTGTAATATGGTCAGAAAACAATAACAGAGGGAGGGAGGGACACATTATTTACAGTTAGCTACAGTACAGAAAAAACAAAACAAAACCATATAGAAAATATTTCATAATGAACTCAGTGAAGAACAAACAGAAACTGCATCTTCTGTATTTTTATTGTTGTTCTTTTCCTGTTTCTGGTAACAGCAAGATTTTTTTTTAAAAAAAAAACCAGCCACCTTTTACCTTCTCACATATTATTTATCCCCCTCCTCCACAAGCCTTTTCTTATTTGTTGCAGGATGAAGAGGCATTGTTTCTTTCAAAAAATAACTGGATTAAGCATTTCAAAAAGAAAAATGGAAGCCTTGATGAGGTAAAATTGGCATTGCTTTATCTCTACCCTCAATCATGCTAAAACTTGTGAAGTTCTTCCTTGAACTATAATAAATGGTAACTCTGAGAAATCATTTAGGTGACAAAGGTACCTTTTTTTTTCTTTTATGTCTTAACCAAGTTTCAGCCTTCAAGGCCTGAGTGTTTAGTTTCATCTTGTTTACTGACAGCCATAAATATTCAAAATCAGGACTTAAAATAAAGAAGTGTAATTTAAATGTACTTGATTACACAATAATTTTGAAGCATACCATTGTATTTCTGTTGTATGAATATTTCAAACAGCCCTACTTTTAAGGATTAGTTTTCCATTGCAAAGAAAACAAGTTATTAATATTTGGAAACCAATGTTGAACAATTTTCAGGAAGACATGGAAATGAGGAGCAGACACAAACCTCCCATAGAACAGAATGCAGTAGTCTATAGAATATATACCCTCTTCCCAAATTAATTCACACGCTGTGTAATATTTTGCCACATGCACTTCAACAGTCCCGCATCCTGCTTAAATGAATGATGGAAGGTTTTACAGACCACATGGCAGCAAATAAATTAAAACTGGTCACCTGAATAGCATTGCTGTAACATTGCATTGCTTGTTTGCTCTACTAAAATGCATAATCAGAAAAATAAAATAAATCTACTCAGTTTATCAAGTACATATAAGTTTTCGACTAACAAAAGAAGATTCTATTTACTGCAGGGGAGAAAACATTTATACTTAGAGGCAGATAGTTCAATTTGGGAGAGCTTGCTATCTCTCAGTATCAACTTTTTGATCTCTTTTGCAGGCCCTGTAAAAATCTTCCAAGGAACATCAGGTTTTTCCAGAATACAATTTGAAGACTAGCTCATCTAACAGCCCATTTGATTTTAAGGAAACAAAACAAAACTGCCAAAGATATCTGACTAATACGACAGATCAGAGCTCATGTTGACATTTCAGTTGTTAAATAAGTATCTTTCGTGCCACGGTTTCTTCCAAAAGCATAGTTTTCCCACACTGACACTCATTTTCAGTTTTTGGAAACAACTGCTTGCAATTAATTAATATGTAATATGAGGGTGGGGGAGAGGAATGGGCAGCTGAACGCTTTTGTCCATGTAATGAGTTATTAAACTGATCACAATCAATGCAAACCCATTTGAATTGACATAATAACTAAGTATCAGATGCCTTCATCTCTATTGTGAACAGATGCATTTCTGTAGTGACTCCAGTACAGTCCTCCTTCCTCACCGACCGTACGCAGTCTGTATTGGCAGGGGGACAGAGGTCGACTCCTAGACCCCTAACTTGTGGGGTGCCTCAGGGGTCGGTCCTCTCTCCCCTTTTGTTCAATATTTATGTAAAGCCGCTGGGGGAGATCATTCGTGGCTTCGGGGTGGATTTCCATCAGTACGCTGATGACACTCAGCTGTACA